AAAGAAAAACAGGAGAAAATCTAGATGAACCTTGAGTTCGGTGATGAGTTTTTAGATATAAAACCAAAAGTAGAATCCATAACAAATAAAAGAAAAATCTCATAATCTGAACTTAATTCAAATTTAAAACATCTTTTCTGAGAAAGACTGATAGAATAAAATAGCAAGCCACAAGTGGGGAGAAAATATATGCAAAACACCTGATAAAGGACTTGAATCCAAAAATGCCAAATTTGGTCATGCAAGGGCCACTTTTTCACAGACTGCAGCGGTCCCTTGTGCTCTAAGCACCCAGGGTGGTGACCAGCTGAATTCTTAGCAGTGTTGCTGGCTCAGCCCCCAACCCCACATGCAGAGAAGTGCCTTTAGCCCCCTGCAGTCCAGCAGGTCCCCAAAGGGGTCCAGTCAACAGGAGATGCTGTGGGTGCTGCGGGGCTGACGGTGGGTGCAGGACAGCTGAACCCCACGCTTGGCAGCACCCCCCGAGGCACCGAGCTGAGACAGAGCAGCCAGCGGCCTGCAGCCGCCCAGCAGCAGACCCACTGCGGGGTGTCTGGAAGCCGGGCTGACCTGCCCCACGGGAGACGGCCACCCGGGGCCACGGTGGACTTAACATGAGTGAAAAATCAACCTGCGGTGGGTTTTGACACGAGATATGGACTTACTGTCTCATCAAGGGAGGAGCGTTAAGTCAGAGAACACACAAGTGCTCGCGGATGGGCGCACAGCACGGAATCCGCTGACACATGCTAAGTGCGGGCGTTCTGCCGTCACAAGGACCCCAAGTGCGGGTCCGAGAGGAGCGCCTGTGCGGCCACCCACCACGCTCTCACCGTTGTCCAGCGGGCTGGGGAGCTTTCCACCACGAAGTCCGGACGCCCGCCCGGGGCCGAGGGCAGGAGAGGCCCTGCCGCCCGGGGGGCTCCGTGGGAGAGCAGGCAGGGCCAGGCGCTGGGGTGGGCGTCCGGGGCGCGGGCGCTGCGGAGGCACCAGGGGCCTCCTCTCTACCCGCCTCTCCTAGGTTCCTGCCTGTGTTTTACCCCTGATTCTGCACCCTGGGTCTGTCTAAGAAACTGCATCTCTGTCTAAGCTGGGGAGTGACTGAGTCTGCAACTTGTAACCAGAACGCGCGGCATTCTACGACAGAGGCCGACAAGGCGGCTGAAGCCGGAGAGACGCTGGGCTGCCCCCGCCCATGGACGACCGGACCTGTGACCCCGGATGAGCGCCGCAGGCCGCACGCCCACCGCCCGCAGGCTGGTGGGGGCCCGGGAGGAGATAGGCGACATCGGACGCGGTAGACACCCCCGTCACAGGTTCTCAGGACCCGAGTCTCACAGGGAAACTCGCAGCGTCTCAGCTGTCTGAGCTACCGAATCTGCTCCCGTTTCAGACACGGATGTACTTTCAAGGCCAGTGCTACCTGGTAACAGATTTAAACTGTGTTCCCATCTCCACTGCTTTTGATAAGACTCCTAGCCTACTCACCAGGGCAGGGCCTTGTTTAGTGGCCTGTAACATTTGGGATTACCTTCTTTTAGCGAAGGGACACGAAATTACTTATGCAAAACTAGCTATAAAGATACATATTCTGAATAGACACAAAATCACAGCAAATTACAAAATTTAACAATCTGATGAATACCACAAACATCACAAAACATAGGAAAGTATTTTCATTGGCTGCTTGATGAATTTTCACATTTTTCCTACATTGCTTTAACAGCATACTTGCTGATATCACCTCTTCATATCAGAATGACTTTTAAAAATATCTATGGAGATAAGAAAATAATTTTACTCTAGAATGACTGATCAAAGTGGTTTTTCAACTACTGATATATTTTAAGAAGTTTCACTGAATGATGAATTACAATTCATTTTCCAAATGACATTTGTGTTAAGTTTAAGAGCTGCCATCTTTTGGAAACCATTTTCAAGTTCTTTTTTACATATGAGTTTGGGATTTATAGCACTTCAATTTTTTTTCAGTGACTAGCAACATTTTAGGAACATAAATGCTCTCAACTATATTCATTCCCCAGTTTTTCATTAATGGTCTTGTCATAAACAGCATATCACAGTATTCTGTGGTCTTCAATAAAGTCACATCAGTAGTAAATCTAAATGGTTTTAGTGTGCTTATGATTTACTCCTCTTCATTCATTGGATTATCAAAGAATACAATAGCCTAGTCATTTATTTGTATTCAAAATCTAACTCATGAATTACTATTTTGGTATAATCTGAAAGAGTATTTTGTCACAGTAAGTACCTTTTAATGTCGGGATAACTTCTGATGTTTCATCTTCTGGCTCATCACACAGACCTCAGCAGCAGGACTGAATAAAGAGGCTCGCCCTGTAAATTTAAGCCTGTGGCAGCCCTCGGCATGCAGTGGCACAGACGTTTCCCCGTCTCCGTCACCAACTGCAGAGACCTGTGCACACCTGGCACCGCGCCTGGTGCCTGGCACTGTCAGTATCTGTAGGAATGCCGGTTTATTTCCCCCACGGCAGGGCATGCAGGGAGTCAACACTGGCATCCTGAGCAAACAAAACACTTGCTTCCTCTAACCTGGGCCTTGAGAGAGGGAAAGGGTCGGAGGGGCCCAGGTGTGTGTGATAGGGAAGGGGAGTCAGGGAAGGTGGTGCTCCCAGCCAAAGCACCAACACGCCAGAGCTGCAGGAGCGCCTGCCATCAAGGCCCAACCCCAGACTCAGTATGCTGGGTGCAGCTCAGCGCTCTCCCTACCAAAATTTAAACTTGTAGTCAGATAAAAGCATCTGCACCACATGGACTGAGAGGAGGGAGAGAGATGCTAAATGCTTCAAGTGGAAAGGGTACTCCATTCATGAAAACATCCCATTTCAGAAGAGCTACCACTCAGTTTTACAAGCTATAAATGATGTCAAAGAAAGGTTAGGGTCCATATCCAATAACTGAGTGATTTATAAAACAAACTGGCCTTTGCAGGAACTCAGTGTTTGAAAATTTAAACGTTCACAGGAAAAATAACTTCATCAAATCTGAAGATTTCGTAAACTGACGAAGCACTCAGGTTGAACTATCAGAAAAGAGCCCTGTAGGCGAGGGGCCCCCCCACCCCATCCCTCTTCCTCTCCACCCGCCCTGAGCTGCAGGCCCGGGGACCCCCCAGCCCTCTCCTCTCCTTCCCGTTTCTGCGGAAGCAGGCTGACTTTACCCAGCGCCACCATCTGCAGAATCAAAGCCGTGGCAAGGGCTCCGCGTGTTCCACAAGGGCAGGCGGGGCCCCCAGGTCCTCCCCCACTGCCGGGAGCAGCGCACACCGCCCCGGGGCCACGAGACCGAGACACCAGGCCCACTTCACACCTGGCTGTGGGGTGGATTTCCAGCAGGCAGAAGGCTCCCTTTTCCAATCAGGATAGAAAGTCTATGTTCAACATTCATCTCACCTCCTCACTTTGCAGTCATTGCTCTGGTACTTCCAGCATCCAGTCAGGCAATTTCATTCTCACTCCTTTAAAATGACCTTGGAGGAACGTTTTCTCCACACTAATCAGGGTCCACGCGGCCGTGGGCCTGGCTCCACTCACCCAGACACCAACGTGTCTCTGAACAGAAGCGCGCTTCTGCCAACGTCTCCTGCCTCAGCTGCAGCCCTGTGGATGGACACGAGCGTGCTGCGTCCTCAGCCTCCTGACCATCCTGCTTTCTCCTTGGTCGCCTCTGCCGTGCGTGCAGAGAGCTTTCTGCCTTTCAGGCTACTCATCTCTTTGATGGAGTTCTCCCATCATTCAGCCAAATGAGTTGACCCAAGTTTTTAATCAAAAATCGATTGTTCCTTTTCCACAGCAGTTTTAGATACAAACAGCCTCACCTCAAATCTCCAATCAGGTTTTTACAATTTCTTTGTTCTTTGAATTGTTGTCCCAGGATGAGCCATTCTGTCCGTTCATCTCAGCCTCCGTCCCACACTGCTCACTTTCCTCCCCACCAGGAACCTGGGACCAGCGTGGATGGTCCATGGAGGTGCTGCCCTCCCTTCCTCTGCGCTGCTTCCCCAGACAGGCCCCTACCTACAACGGGGGCTGGCAGTGTGAACGTGTCAGGAGGTGAGGTGGGTGGAGGTGCAGGGACAGAGACCAGGTGGGGTCCCAGCAAGCCCCAGGCCAGACCCTGGAGGGCGAGCACTGCCCCGCAGGGTGCCCGCCTCTCCAGCGAGCACTGTCCTCCATGCCTGTTTTCCTGGCACGGCCAGCGGGCGGTCAGTACAGCTACCTCGAGCCCTGCTTCTCCTGTGCCAGTGTCCACGCTGAGCCACAGACAGAACGGCTGTCTGTATCCTTCACGAGCAATGCTCCTCCAACACTCTGGAGGCGCGAGGTGCAGCCAGGCCCAGTGTCCAGGAGCCCACCTCTACTGAACACAGCCCACCGCTCAGACTTGAGGCTGGAGCCCCGGCAGGTCCCGGGGAAGGACGGCTGCCCCCCAAACCGCGCAGTGCTGTCCTCGGGCAGCAGCCGCCCGGCCCCCGCTCCGAGCAGGGAGAGCCTGCTCCTGTCGCCCTGGCCTCGTACTGAGCCGTCTGCAGACTGAACGTGCCCCAGGGACCCAGGGTGCATGCTGGTTAGCAGGCCAGCTCCCACGGAGCTTGCAGATGCCCACTCAGCACAGCCAGGCGGCACTGAGCAGGTACCCAGGGCAAACAGGACTGTGACAGGGCGGCAGGAAAACGCATCCCCTTCAGGCTGAAGCTTCTCTGAGAACAAGACAGAGACGAGGCAGCCGGCAGGGCTCCGGGGGAAGGAGGTGAGGACACCCCAAAACAGGACCACCTGGGCAGCCGGCAGCTGCACACAGGCTCAAGCGGCAGGTGCCAGCGTGCACTGGGGTGAGAACAAGGAAACGTGAAGGGGCCAGAGGCAGGGGGCATCTGGGGCATCGGGACAAGGGCAATATGGGGATGGCGGGCAGCTGGTCACTGTCACTGCAGAATATGAAAGTGTGAACTCTTATTTTAATCATCATCAATGAAGCGAGACTTTTATTGACATCTGACAAAAAAAAACATTTGAAAAACTCCATTGTAAAATACAAGTTTTATGGTAAAAATGCTATTTTCTGGCTTAGTATTTCAATGTGTATTTCTTGATGTTGAGTCACTACGTCGGGCTCAACCATTCTGCAACCCCATGGACTATAGCCCACCAGGTTCCTCTGTCCATGGAATTCTCCCATGTATTTCTTAACAAAAAGAAAATACTAATCACAAGCAAAACTTTCTGTCTAATCAAGGAACACATGTGGAAACAGCTTTTTCAGAGCACAATTTGAAGCAACTAAATCTACTGGATCAGACGCAGCCTGTGACGACAGAGTCTCCTACTTTACATCTTTCTCCCCATCCCCCCAAAAGATCAGGGGTAACAGAAAAACGACAAATTTCACATGCCACTATCTGCAAGTTTCCCACAAGATTAAAGAGCCACACCCTGATGATTATTCCACTGAAATGATTTTAAATCATTTCACAGAAATCTACCTATCAAACAATACAAAAAATAAATCATATATTTGACAGATTCCAGAGGGCCAGAACAGAACTATAATCTTTATACAAAGTAACTGTTTACAGAGATGACATCCAAGAGATGCATTTTATAACAGCAGACTGGGGGACCTCTAACAGCAGACTGCATCTTCATGCAGCGCTATGTCCTCACATGGACCGTGGTGGGCCATGACTGAGACCAAGATCAGTGCCCACAGCTGGGGGTTGACAGAGGGGCTCCCAGGCCACCCTGGCCCACATTCTGCCTTGCTTCCTCTTGGGGTTCATGGCTCAGTTTCACTGAAATTTTATAAAACCAGATTCTAATGTCACACAACCTAAATACTTACATTACCATTTCACTTCACATTTCAGAGCCCAGGAAACATTTGTGTAGTATATAGACTAGTATGAAATGAAAACCTGCTATACAAACCACAAAGTCTGTTCACTTCTTGAGATCAATAAGTTCCAATCTGCTCCTTTTATTAACAAAGGCAACTCTTAATAAAAAGTTTTAATTGAAATTAAAAAGTACAGAATTTAACCTTTGGTCACAGCTGTGCTTGCGAACAAGCACGCCTCACGTCCACAGTTCTCTGTAACACGCAGGACCACGGGTGTCCGCACCTATGCGGACGGCAGCGTGGGGGCAGACACACCGAACTGCCCCAAACTCCACCCCTGGGGCGACCCCGAGGGCCCCAGTGAGACTACAGTGTGCAGAGCTGGTCGTCTGGGTCTGGTCTTAGGCCATGACCAGTGTCAGTCCAATGGATTTAAATACAACCAACTTACAGATCTGAAATGAAAGCACTGCTTCATGGTTTCAGATGCATTTTGGTATTTAATATGTTTCAAAGCAATGAGGAGAACCGGTGAATAAAACTGCTTACACAGACCCAGGATGGTGACCTCAAATGCATCAGGGACAATTCCACAAATAAGAAAATCACAAGCACCTCCAGATTTTAAATCTTTAAAACGAGCAAAACTAAGAAGGACACACACGAGGATTTTAATATAACCTTAATGGTCTAACAAACCTCCCAAACGGAAGGAAATGCAAAGCCAAGTCAACCTATCAAGTGTAACTTACAGTGACAGGCTCCAGGCCGCAGATCTTCCAGGCCGTGGGCCAACTCCCTATGGAACCACCCGCCACCGCCCCCTCCAACTGCAGATGCCCCTCCTGCTGCCGAATGCCTGAGCCCTGGTGCCGGCCCGCAGGCAGACCCGCAGGCAGGCCCGCAGGCAGGCAGGCGGGCACGTGGAGCCGTGAACCTACAGTTCTGCTGCCTCCTCCGTGATGCACTTAATACCAGCGCTGTACCGGCTCCCTCCTTGTGGTGAATTTGAGCCTGATCAACTTTCATAGAGAAGCATGTACCTAGACCAAATTAGGAATACTAAATCTTCCACACATGGGCTCAAATAGGAATTATTTTGTTTTGCATAATGAAAAATTTTTTTAAATATCTGTAATCCTTTGAAACACAAGGCACCAACAGGGAGCAGACATTCCAGCAAAGAGTGATTGTCTGGAGGGAACTGATCAGAGTTCCGTCCTCTGCCGAGCAGCACCCTGCCGTGCGCAGGCCTAGGCCACGTCTTCCAGGTAATCGGCGACGTCACTGAGCTGGGACACGGTCAGGTCCTGTGTCAGGTCCTCAAGCTGGTCATTCAGAAGAAAGAAGAGGATCGGTGTCAGCGAGAAAACAGTTGTCAATGATTCTTAGCATATTGCTGTAACTTAAAGTATCATCTTATACTCTACCGACTGACTCACAGTGAAAAGTCCTTGTCCTGGCGTGGAAACACATACACTACCGCATGTAAAATACAAGCCAGTGGGAACCTGCCATACGGCCAGGGAGCACAGCTCAGTGCCGTGATGACCAGCAGGGGTGGGAGGGGTAGGGGGGGACACATTTACACCCACGGCTGATCGACACGGATGCAGAGCAGAGAACAGCACTGTGAAGCAATTATCCTCCAAGGATACAGGTTTTTTTCAAAGTCTTATTCCTCACTTCCTTCTTCCTATTTTGAAATTGGCGAGGATAACAAAAGCTGAGCTGCCAGATGAATTCAACATTAACAAGAAGACTGACTGCTAAAATCACCAATTTCTACTTCTTTTGGTAACTTTAAAGCAGTATCTTCAGAACTCTTTAGGATGACATAAGGTGAAAAGGTAAGACAAAACAAATTATTACAAACTTCTCAGTACACTGTATCAGGAACCAAAGAAGGCATTTCACATACTATCACTTAACCTTCGGAACAACTCTATAAGGGAGGCATTGACACCCCCATCTCATTAGGAATAAGGAAACTGAGGATCAAAGGTTAAAGCTTGCGGAAGCAAACACACATCAAAGAGTAAGATTCAGGCCCAGATTCATTACACAATGCTGCCTGTGTCAAAGGCCCTTCCCCGTGGTAGTCTGTGACGGGCAGAGTCCTACCTCACTCGGCAAAGCAAGCTTCACCTCCAGGTGGGAGCCACTCTCAGCTGAGAGGCAGCCTCCCTCGGTTTACCGTGGGCACAATACCCAGCCCCGAGGTGCCACCTGACGTCTCACACCTGAGGTCTCACACCCAACACACACCTGGGCACTCTCCTCTCTGCCGACAGACAGCTCAGGTGTGGATCTCCAAAACCGAGGCATGACTTTACCCCCGAGAGCCTGTTAGCACGGTCTCACGCCCCGCCGACACCCTGCAGCCAGTCTCTGCTTCAGCTCCGGCGCTCACGGGGCTCCCCTGCAGCCACCGCCTCCCACAGGGACTTCTCTGACGAGGACCCCCTTGCCTATACTGTCTACACCCGGAGGCAGTGGGCTCTGACTGCAGTCCTGACCTGCTGGAGTGGACCTATGCCCACAGCAGTGGAAGTCCCAGTAATAACACACAGGCATTTCACAAGCAAAGCAGGCCATAACTGAAAACATTCATGACAGGTACTGATCCCAGATCTGGAGCAGGAAACTCCACCATAAACCTCTCCTAATTTTCAACTTTTCTCCTAGCTTCTGAAGCTTCCCAGTGACTCAAGGCAACAGGCACCGATGGCCCGCCGCAGGGAAGGAACAGCATCGCACTTTGTCACTGGTGTTGGCGTCATCCATTTCCACAGAGAAGTCCTCCTCAATCTCTTCCCCAATACTCAGCTCACTCTTCTCTGAGCGATGGCTGGTGCTAATTTCAGGGAAAAAGAAAAATAACAACTCTGATTACAAGCATTTATAAAGAGTAACTACCATTCTTTCGCTTTTCAGGTATCTTAATTCTTTAAATAGAATAAAATACTTCATGTCATTCATTCCATACATCCCATCTCACCTGATCCTATGCTAACTTAGCAGTGGCAGCAAGAACAGTCCAATCCATTTAACAGATGAGAAAACTAAGGTTCACAACAGTGACTATGGTCACAATGGCATGAAAGAAAACCCACATTTTTAAAATTTCATTTCTCAAAAGTATGTTAGAAAGTAAACATGAATCCTAAATTGGAAGAAAATCAATTGCATAAAATCCTCACACTGATTTAATTTAATTACTTCCTAATTAATTATTAGCCAAGTCATAGATATTTTCTTTACATTTATAAAAAAGTTTATTTGAAACAAAATATCAAGAAATGTCATCTGGATCAGAAAAACAACTTGAGAGGGTGATCTGTTTACGCCAGTTGTGGACAACGCCCACCACTGAGATCAAAAAGGGGGGGTCAAAGCACTGGCGATCGAGACCACACTGCTCCTGTGGCCTCTGAGCCCACCCTTCACCGCTGGTTCCTCTTCTGCGTCTCATAAGCTCCCTGAACATGATGAAGAAGTCCTCATTCTAATGTAACATCAGAAACATGCTTCACAGTCTAGGGACAATTCTGGATTAACTCTCTTTAACTCACGTTCAATCAACACAAAAAAGAGAAGAAAGACACTAAATAAGAACAAATGTGATTTTTGTCATACTGTCCTGTTCAGAAATTGTTTACAATTTATATATTTCTTGTCCAACCATTTTTCTTACCTATTAAAATCATCAACATAGTCATCTTCTTCTCCAGTCCCTGGTAAGTTTAAGAAAACATACATATATATTTACAGTAAACATACCTCACCATATTGACAATTAGACATACACGTTTCCTTCAGAAACTACCCCAGGCAGACTGAGCAAACAGTGAGAACCCAGCTAACACAGTGGGGACCACTGGGCTGCACCTGAATCTGGGGACACTAACCACCCCCTCACTCGCCTCCAGCTTCTGCAGCCGATTCCAGGACAAAACGGCCACCACACAGTGTGCTGGAGCCGGCCATCAGCTGCTGACCGCCTGGTTCTACGGAGAGCTGAGCCCCAGGCCAAATCTGCCTACAACCCGTTTCCGGGCAGCCTGTGAGCTGAGAGTGACTTTTACAGTTTTCAGTGACTGTAAACACACCAACACTGGACACAGACTGCACGTGGCCCACAGGCCAGAAGTGCCCACTCTGTCCCTCTGCAAAGTGCTGACCTGCGCTTTAAACATGCAAAGTGCCCGTCTGTGAACACGAGCACCTCTGACTAATATAAGGAGCTCCAGATAGGCTGGCTGACCCTTCACTGAAGATTTCATTCTAAAAAACAATCACCAGAAAGTAATCAATACTGAAACTGGAAATTCAGTTACCTAATCCAAGTGATCCAATTTTATCATTGACCAATTTAACATCTTTTAGAATTGGGTTTCCCCTTTTACCTGTGAACAGGAAAAAATATTCACATTAAATTGTCTGTTAGAATACAATAGTCTCTAAACCATGTCAACTTTTTTTTCAGGGTCTGTTGACACGTAATAACTGAACACTAATAAGAAATTATGAATTGTGACTAAATACACTGCATTATTCATTATATAATAAAATATGCTTACATGTTGTATTACACACCCCTTTTAACTACACACTACTATAATATACAGACCTTTAGTAGCCACACTATATTCTTTTTTGGAACTTGGCAATTGAAACCATTTTTACCCAACCATCAGATGTCAACCTTCCATAAGAAGCACTACTGGGTATGAATTCACAGACCACAACTATTCTCATCAGTTTTATTTTTCTGTTAAACTTCTGCCTTCCGCTTCAATTTAATGGCTGTTTCGTGCACTAACCTAAGCTCCTCACGGCTTTGTTTTTCAGCCCTCGTTCTCAACGGCCTCTCTGAGTCACTACTCCCAAATCAGTGTTAAGAGCGGCACGACCATGGCATTCTGACTCCTTCCGTGAGGGTGACAAGGCCACAGGAAAGGAGAAAAGGAGGGGAACGGACGTGGCGGTCTAACAGACACGTGGCGAGTTTACCAGCTGCCGAGACGAGCCACAGGTGCCTGCTGTCCGTGCCCCGGGGAACCCACCCACAGTGGTGCCCCGTCGCACCAAGGCTCAGCTGCAGGGCAGGCACACTCAGCCGTGCCCGACTCTGTGCGACCCCGGGGACTGCAGCCCGCGAGGCTCCTCAGTCCCTGGGATTCTCCGAATGCTGGAGTGGGCTGCCATCTCCTTCTCCAGGGGTCTTCCTGACCCAGGGATCCAACGAGCACTTCTCACGTCACCTGCGCAGGCAGGCACGTTCTTTACCTCTGGCGCCACCTGGGGAGCTGAGTAGCACTACAAGATTATGCAAAGTGCCAGAGCAATTTCCTAACAAAGATCTACTCAAAGAGGCACATTTATGCTCTAAACACTGGCACTTAAATCCTGTATTTACTCTGATACAGTATACAAAGTTCATCTGCATGCTTACTACATGTTTAAGGCTATGCCTTTAAACCTTGGTCTTGTCACCATCTGTGTGCAGCAAGGCCACTCCGCGTCAAGCTATCAACCCCCATCTCGGCTACATATAAAAACATACAGCTGATCCAGATTGCCAAAGGCAGAGGAGCATTCTAACATTCTTACAATGATTACTGTGGTATGTACGGAATCTCTGATGCAAACTTTAAAAAATTAATTGTACTTAAATCCTACATAACTCATTTTAAATGTCCAGCAAAACAGAGATGGCTTAACATTATATCTATTTATTATATAAGACAGCTATAAACTCAATTTTCTAAAAGTATTTTCATGGTATAGGAAAAGCAGAATACAAACAGTATAGAAGCTATGACCAGACTCAAAAGAAATTTTAAAAGTAACAAAATATTAACTGAAAATATCACTGAGTAGCAAAATTATAGGCTGTTCTTATGATTTTACATATATTTTTATGAAAAAAATAAATGATCATATACAATTAGAGAAAAAAATAGCAGCAGCCTTAGAAGTACATGTCTTCAATCAGCAAGTCTAGAACTTTCGGACACTCACTTTCAGACTCTTTCAATGAAGGGGCTCCAGCAAGGGAGCTGAGTCCACTTTTTAGGGGGGGCGCATCAGACAGCGATGCAAGGCTTCCTGCTTGCTTACTGGGTTCACTTCTCCTGACGAGAAACAAGCATGCAGTTAATGGCGTTCTTACACGCTGCCCCTAACACCTAAGCAACTTGAATACATCTCACAGGCAACACAGGCGCTGGGAAACAAAGAATATACAAGTCACAGATTGAAGCCAAAATGTGTACCTGCAAGGCAAAGCAGACTAAGAATCACTGCAAATTCACGCAGGACACTATCGCCTATCCAGAGTTTTCTCCCACAAACAAACCTGCCCCTCATCAGCTTCGCCGTCTGTGCTGCACCGGCAGTCACTCCAGGGGCCCAGAGGCGCAGCCGAGGGACAGCGCAGGAGACAACGAGCGCCGCAGACACGGCCCTGGGGCCAGGCCCTGGGCGATCCCAAAGCTGACCCCTGCTCAGAGCCGGACCGCCCCCTCCCGCGGATGTCTGACAACACCACGGCGCCTGGCCCGCCTCCTCACACTCTAACACCGCGCCTCTCACCCCTCCAGCACTCCAGGAGCCCCATCCCTCCCTGACCTCGTTTCCAATTCCCTCTTTAAAACTCGGTTCTTCCAGATCTGAAAGAGACACGTGCACCCCAATGTTCATCGCAGCACTGTTTATAATAGCCAGGACATGGAAGCAACCCAGATGCCCATCAGCAGACGANCAGCCGTCACCATGTCCTCTGCGCCCCTACAGTCAACTCACCAGGAAACCACTCGTCACCACAACCCTCCACTCTTGGCTCTCGAGCCCACCCTGCCCCCCCCCCGCCCCCCTCGAGCAGACTGCCCGGGAAGGCCCCAGGCAGCCTGCACCAGCTGAGCGCGCATCCACCCTCCTCCGGGTTCCCTTCCCGCCGCGCCCCGGCCTCAGGGGCCCTTAGCTCCCGGCCGGGCCTTTAGCTCAGAGGGACGAGTCCTTCCAGTCTCCTCTAACCCAGACCTCTTCCTGCACACCCACACTCACACCTGAAAACAGACTTCCTCCTGCTGACAACCTTCTCAAATGAGCGGGTGGAAGTGAGGTTGGACGGTCACACAGCCCCCTGTGCAGCCAGCCTAGCTCTCTCCACTCTTCACCTCAGTGACGGCAGTTCCAACCTTCTAGTGACTCAGCCGGAGAAGGCAATGGCACCCCACGCCAGTACCCTTGCCTGGAAAATCCCATGGATGGAGGAGCCTGGTGGGCTACAGTCCATGGGGTCACGAAGAGTCAGACACGACTGAGCGACTACACTTTCACTTTTCACTTTCCTGCATTGGAGAAGGAAATGGCAGCCCACCCCAGCGTTCTTGCCTGGAGAATCCCAGGGGTGGGGGAGCCTGCTGGGCTGACGTGACTTAGCAGCAACACCAGTGACTCAGCCCAGGAAGGGATTTGCAGGTACAGGTGCAGCAAAGGATGCTATGAAGCAAATTACCAGCAAATCCCTTTGGATCCAAATTTAGACTACATCCCTAGCCAACTATCCTCACCACTTCCACCTGGCTAACCCCACAGCTTCTGTCTGCAGACCCAGCAGCCAGGAGATCCCAACACAGCGCAGGTCTGTTCTGGTCCCTCTGCTGCTCAGACCCCAGGGCTTCCGGGACCCTCACAGTGGGGCCAGGCCTGGCCATGTCACTCCACCTCCCACAGGCGCCTTGGCCCGCGCCTGGCCTCCTCTCCCCTCCGAGAGCCCGCCCTGGGGCTGAAGCCTTCTCTGACACCTCGAGACCCAGCGGCCCTCCACACTGGCACTCCTGCCCTCAAAGCTCAGTCCCCCACACGGCTGGGTCCCCCAGACACGGCGCCTGGCGGGCCCTCGCGGACGCTGCCATCCAAGCGTGAGCGCCCAGGGGCAAAGCCTGCCTGCCTCACCACTGCTGCGCCCGGCACGCTGCCAGCACGCGCCACACACCTACCTGCCAAAATCGTTAAATGTCCAGGCCTTTCAAAACCTGGACTCTTTAAGCCCTAAAAAGCTTTCAGGACACAAAATCAGACTTATGAACTCAATAATTACAGACCATTGGTAGCTCATTTTCTTAAACACAAAATAAAACATGTAGAAACTCCATTTCTAAGCCTCTGGTCTGATAACATAAAAGCACAGGTTACTCACCAACCGTACGCTGCTTCTGGTTTAGGAACGGGGTCATCAAAGAAAGAATCCCCTTCCAGGTCATCTTCATCTGGACTGGGACCCGCTTTGGCATTGACATCGAGATTGCTGTTGCCTAACAAGGACCCGATTTTAGCTTCATGGGCCAGCAAGTGAAGACTACTTCTGCTCTTGGGCTCTGATGATGAGATACTGGTATCGCTATGACTGGCATCATTGCTGGCCTTCTAGAAAACAGAGGAAAAGACAAAAGTTCTTGGTGACATGAAAGTTAGTTTATGACTAACTTCTGAAGGGGAAAAATGTCAAACATGTTTATACCATCCCTTTCCTCCCTCCCTCCGTGGAAATACCTTTACCCGGCCCATTCATAAACAAACTCCCATTTTCTCCCACATATGTATCATTGCTTCATAAATTACCTTAATATGTTTTCAAATGGCAAATGGAGAGCATAATAAAGAGGCAAGGAGGAGCATCATCATTAGTACATCACATAATTGAACCCAGGAGATAAACAGAGTGCTCGTCAGGAAAACTCACAATTTTCTACCAAGGGCATCAAGATTAAAGTTTTCTGAGTGAAATCACCGGTCTTAATTCAGACTTTCAGTGACTCGCTAATCCACACCTTCCTTGTACATCCATGGACACATGTATATGTATGTTTCTATGTGAAAGTCAAAGTGCTAGTCGCTCAGCCACGTCCGACTCTGCGACCCCACGGACGGCAGCTCACCAGGCTCCTGTGTCCGTGGAATTATCCAGGCAGGAACACTGGAGTGGATAGCTATTCCATTCTCTGGGGGATATTCCCCACTCAGAGATCGAACTCAAGTCTCCCACATCGCAGGCAGGTTCTTTACCATCTGAGCCACAAGGGAAGTCCCGTTTCTGTATACCATAAAGCAAAGCACAACTCTCTCCAGCATTTATTCTCACTCTTGTTCTGCTGACCTGGGGAAGTTAGCACAAGGCGTGGGTCGTGTTTTTGGTCAGCCCTGCCCTTCACGACCAGATTGTGTTCTATTCTCGGTCAGATTTCTTTCTGCCTTTAGACATTTCTATGTCAAAAACAACAGAAATAACGAAACCAAAAAACCAGGACAGCAATAATAAAAGGAGCATTTACCGAAAGCCTTCAAATGTCTCCCATGGTTACCTGATTTTAATCCTCAAAGTAACTCTATGGTATGTGGACGGGTTCTGTCTTCTCTGCAGAAAAGGAAATGCAGAGGCATCACAGTCACCTACCCAGGCCTCCGGGGCGGGGGGGGGGGGGGGGGGGGGGGGGGGTCAAGGGGTCTGCTATCAAAGTCTGACTCCAGAGGTTAGCGCAAAAGGCTTATACTCTCCATTCAGTGGAGTCGTATGAAACTGCAGTTTGTACGGGTCAGAGATTTAGCCCCCACACTAGACAGCAGCACTGAGTGAGACGCCAGGAGCGTGAGACGAGCGCTCTCCTGAAACAGGGAAAATGTAATGCAGGCTGCACTGTGTGTGTGCGTGCTCAGCTGTGTCTGACTCTTTGCAACCCCGTGGATCCCACGGAGCCCGCCAGGCTCCTCTGTCCATGGAATTCTCCAGGCAGGAATCTGGAGTGGGCTACCATTCCCTTCTCCAGGGGATCTTCCTGACCCAGGAATTGAACCCGGGTTTCTTGGAATTGCAGGCAGATTCTTTACCATCTGAACCACCAGGGAAGGCCCTATACTCTACTACTATGCAATTTTAAGAAATTTAATGTTCTCAGGCATGAATTCCCTCAAGAACTGAACCAGAGTAGTCTTTTCCAACTCAAGTTACCACGAGGAGTTAAGAAAAAAGGGATAAGTGGTTGGGAAAAAGTCGCTGACTACTGAAGCAGGGAAGTGACAGCATGTGTTATAACTGATTCCACGAGACACTAGGATGGCTGTATTTTTAACACGGGTATGGCAGGGACTGTGCAGTGAGATACACGCTGACATTTTCACACTAGCTAGAAGCCATGATTAGTCAACAGCAGGTAAGACACACACTATACATTCCATATGTTATTAATGCAAAAAAAAAAATGGTTGTAAAGAGATGTCTGGAGAGATAAATACCAAGTTATAACCCTTTCAGACAACATAGGATATTTTCAAAGAAGCAGTTTTTCAAATTTCCTCACAACCCTCTTGAAGTTTTCCTGTTATTATCAGTTAGAGACACACCAACCACTTATGTATTTCTTAATAAGATTCATTCCCATTATAATTTCTGGTTTACAGATGTTTTAAAAGATTTATCTCTTTTCAAAGGAATATACATTTGGAAATAAATACCCTGAATTATTGTGCTTTTTAAACACATTTATGATTATAGATACTGAGATAGTATCTCCTTCAAAACACCCCTGAGAAACCTCAAAAGGATGCCTGACCTGAAACAGACAAACACAAATGTAAAAGCACATTACAAAAAACAATCGTCTTTTCAAAGTCTCTCTTCCCATGAATTCACATCATCAACATAACTTAAGTTCATATATTGAATTATCTGAAATGAATAACTAATATGTCCATGATTATTTTTGACAGGTTTTAGCAATATTCTTGCTATGAAACAAAAGACTAGTTTTAGGAAGCCAAGTTTCATGGCATAGCACATTATGATGCTCAACATAATACATACTTTTAAAAATAGTAACTTGTTTTAACATTATAGTTCTATTTATCTATGGAGTAAAAATTAAACTTTAAAAACACTCAAACTTCTTTGGAAGTGTTCCCAAAATAAATTTCTAAATCACACAGGAATGTGTCATTACTTTATAACCGGTTCTTTTTTTTAAAAAAAAACCAAAAAGACCATTACCTAACTGGGTTACTAATGAACTCACTAAACTTGATTCCAAGTATTTTTTGCTATTAAACAAAAAAAGAAATCCACACTAACAGGAGAAACATTAATCAAAACATTCTGTAGATTAAAACAAAAGTACTGCAAAACTTCAAGAGCAATTTTCATCAAGAAAGCCCACACTTTTTGAGCAACATCAACTCACGATGTATATACCCTGGGATCTGTTTAAAAAAACTTTTATCATGGTTTAAGGCAAGTCTTATAAACTTCAGTTACTTGGGTCTCTATCACCTAGATGTGGATGAATCTAACAGCTAAGATAAAGAATTGTTTAAAATGAAGTGTGACCAGAAAAACAATCCTCTGACAATGGTTTAGAATTCATCCCAGGACAGCCCCAGAGGCCTTGGCGATTATTATGAGTTAAACTGTGATCCTCCAAAAAGTTCAGTTCAGTTCAGTCGTGTCCGACTCTTTGCAACCCCATGAACCACAGCACGCCAGGCCTCCCTGTCTATCACCAGCTCCCGGAGTCTACCCAAACCCATGTCCATTGAGTCGGTGACGCCATGCAACCATCTCATCCTCTGTCGTCCCCTTCTCCTCCTGCCTTCAATCTTTCCCAGCATATGGGTTTTTTCAAAAGAGGTAGCCAAAGAGGCTTCGCATCAGGTGGCCAAAGTATTGGGGTTTCAGCTTCAACATCAGTCCTTCAAATGAACACCCAGAACTGATTTCCTTTAGGATGGACTGGTTGGATCTCCTTGCAGTCCAAGAGACTGTTTCAAGAGTCTTCCCTAATACCACAGTTCAAAAGCATCAATTCTTCGACGTTCAGCTTTCTTTACAGTCCAACTCTCACATCCATACATGATCAATGGAAAAACCATAGCCTTGACTAGACGGACCTTTGTTGGCAAAGTAATTTCTCTGCTTTTTAATATGCTGTCCAGGTTGGTCATAACTTTCCTTCCAAGGAGTAAGTATCTTCATTTCATGGCTGCAATCACCATCCGTAGTGATTTTGGAGCCCCCAAAAATAAAGTCAGCCACTGTTTCCACTGTTTTCCCATCTATTTGCCAATAAGTGATGGGACCGGGTGACACGATCTTAGTTTTCTGAATGTTGAGCTTTAAGCCAACTTTTTCACTCTCCTCTTTCACTTTCATCAAGAGGCTCTTTAGTTCTTC